GGACCTATAACACGGCCCAAACCGATCCTTCCGAATTAAGAGGATCGCCAAAACGGTGTTACGAGTGTAACAGTATATGTATCATTTGAAATACCAATAGGAAAGTAGCAAATTTTTGATCAACCCGGCAAAACAAATCCGGCACAAGAAAATGAGAAAAGACAAAAATGCGAAAAATACAAAAACAGATATCTAAATTTAGTCTGACGCATTTTCAAAAATGTCGGGAAGCCAATTTTATATATAAGCTTGACCTCAGCTCTAACCCTGATACTTGATATCTAATACCGTAAAATACCATGCAAAATACCCGGGGTCTCTTACAAACCACACAATCAAGAATCTCGAGAACTAATGCAAGAATCGGTCTTAAGTGACTAAGTAAATATGTAGAAAACATGATTTCATACATTTTTACTTATTAGTCAAAACCCGATTAAAAAAGCCAATTTGAGAAATCTACAGGGTGCATAATATGGGGTATACTCTCGAGTATTAATCGGATATTTTAATGGATCTATTTCAGATCACATGACCAGACATCTTTTTTTGCCATTCGACTCTCGATTACGTAACAACCATGCAGATCCCATTGTACGTAAACAATATAAATTCAATAGAATCTGCATGGTCGTAATCTTCACTTGTTATTTTTTCTTGCACCACAAAGAAAAAATACCAATTAATTAAAGAGATTAATAAAAAAGATCAAAGTGAGTTTACCTTCATGTACTGACACTATAAAAAAAATACAAGCGAAAATTATAATCAATTAGTAATCATTACTGTGCACAGTCATAGAATAACTAATAAAATTTACCTTTATTTGCTTTATTTGGAGCATATAACTGTTATCGTTATTTGTAGACTCAGCATCAATATCTATATCAAGTTCAATAGTAACATATTCTAGAGTTGCAAACAAGTATTTTTTAATACTAATACTATACGTACTGATATTAAATGCATGTAGTAAATTTACCTTCATCCGAAACATACAAAATGCACAACAAACCACGAAAAAAAATATTTAACTTAATTCAAAATCAAGATTCACTAATAAAATCTTGCACTATAGTAAACCAGGCCTGATACATACGTACAGTCAATGTCGATATAACGGACCCCTCCGTTCCTGCCATGCTGTCCGGTAAATCGACAGATCCGCTATGACAGACAAAATTATAGCTGGTTCCGAAAAATAGTCCGTTATATCGACGTTGACTATATATCGAATCGTTTAAATTTATTTTCTCCATGTAATAACGGTAATCGTACACAACGATGTTTTATAAATTGTTCCGAACTCTCCTTTTGCAAGATATTCAAAATGGCGAATCTTTCAAAAGGATCCATTTGAATAACACAAATTTATTAATTGCCGTGCATATTCGTCATTAGACTCGATATTTTTATTTTTGTTAGCTTCATAAATTCGTTCGTGATATTCTAACCATTCTTCGCAGTACGTAGTACTTTTCTTGACAAACGGTGCATTTACTGCAATCTTAGATGACATCTTTGAGTTTAGCTTAATAAAAAATTTAATAAAATATAACGAACTGACGGTTCTATTAGTAAAAAGTTCGTTATATAAAACTATACATGCACATGTATAGTTTTAAAAATTTAAAGTTCGCTATACATGTACGTATCTCGTGTTTGTTACAACGATAACGTACCGGTACATATTTATTAAAACTTTGATAGTAAATCAAATGTATATGTGTTTGTTATAAGCTAGTCGGGGCCACATTATTCTTTCTTATAATTTATAACGAGAGTTTCTTTTATTGCGATAGCGTAATTTATTTAATACCGATACTGATTTGGTCGGGAAGAACACTCTTATCTGGGAATTTTAACGAGAGTCAGTATGTTCATAGGGCAGCGACTTGTCGATTTGTTGAACGTGATTACGTAATTAAAAGTTTGTCATACAGGTAAACTGGCGTGGGGCATTTAACCTGTTGATAAGCTAAAAGTAATAATCAACAGTTTGTTCTCTTATCTGGTACTTAATTAGTTTTTGGTAGTGTAGACTTGGCACCGAGAACTTTATCTTTCGCACGATTATTAAGAAAATCGGAGCAGAAATATTCGAGTTTTCAAAATGACTGTACTGTATCATAATTAAAATTTTGACACAAAGGGTTACAAAAATTTTTTATCGAGCGAATTCGAATCCGTGCAGTTTCAAGATATTTTATTGATTTAACCATATCGAGAAAGCGGGAAGGATTCTTTAGAGGAAGCGCGCGGGGAGGCCGAAGGATCGAAATCTTCCGCTGCTAATATAGCTTTGCCGTTTTAAATTAATAGTGATAATAAAGTTCATAACAATACTGCGCATTAACTAATACATGTACATATACGTACATGTATATCATATTGATATCGATATCGATATCGATCAGTCAACCCATCAATCGGTCGATCAACCAACAACGTAACGACTACGTAATCAAATGATGTTAAATTTGTAACTACACGTATCGGTATTTACTATTGTCAAATAATTACCTCTTTTAATAAATAAATATAAAGCAAATATGACTTCGATAAAATTAATAGACTTCAAACCAACACACACACAACTTGCTGATGAACTTTTACAATTTTATAATAAACAAACATGGATCCATGCAGATGAATTTATCGCATTGGCAGTAAAAAAGTGGATCACAGAACACAAAAAAACCGAGCAACAAATTCTAAAGCTACTGCAACTCCAAGGCGTATCACCGAAGTATTCATGCATTCTGGGGTTTTGCTTTGAATTTGGGATTGGTCTTCGACGCCGTAATCCGACTTCCGCATTCCAATTTTATCAACATGCCGCGGCAAATAATGACGGATTTGCATTGGTACAATTGGGAAAATTTTACCGGTTTGGTACATCTGTTCCATTTAATCATCTAAAGGCAGTAGAATTATATCAGAAATCAGCCGTTCTAGGTCATCCACAAGGAGCTTTGAAATTTTCTCGTTATGTGAGTAAGCCAAAAGAGATATTTCATTATCATAACAAAGCCGCCGATAAAGGATTCAAGAAGGCTCAATGTGAGATGGTCAGATGGTGTATGTTGGGAGAAGCAACGTTAAAGGATAAACATATGTCTTTGCGTTGGTTATTGCGACTGTCACGAAACAATTATCAAGAAGAAATCAATTTGCGTAAATTCTTGCGAATGATTTTTATGAATAAGAAATCTCGAAATTAGGATCTCATGATCATTTTATAATCATAAAAGATTTATTACAGTATTTTAGTTTGATATTCAGGAAGCACTACTACGTATTTTACTTCTAAAATCATTATGAGCAGTCTTCATTGTAATCAAAAAGTTATTTTGAACTAATAAAATGAATTGAAAAATGCAATATCTTGCATGATTTGGCTCACTATTTCAAAGCTTCTAAGAGCAATCAATTCCCCTACCATAGAACCGAATTTTTAACATTTATAGAGATCTCAAAATTGTGGAAACGTGGAATGATAAACCAATTCTCCTCTAATAGCTAACACTATAATCTATCTGTGTGTCATTACTACATGTATTTTGTTTCTACCATAGGTGATAAGAATTTCATAAATGCTAGCGCGCCGTTATGAAAAGTACCAATAATAATTTGTCTCACATATAAGATAGCGATGGCGATAGCGATAACGATAATAAATGTCGCGGCTGATGCTGAAATTGACCAATGAAATTAGAGAATAGAAATTAATCAGCCAATAGGATGCGCTAATTTCAGCATCAGCCGTTACCGTTACAATAAATAAGCATACGACACATGCAACGGCACGTAATTTAGGAAATGACAAACCTTAAAGAATTACACACAAAGTTTTCATCAATCACAAATCTAGGCAGAAACGACGATGACTTTCTTTTACAATGTATAGAAGACTATTTAACAGTAACAAAAATTACAAAAGCAGAATTATTTCAAAATGTACTGAAGTTCAAAACGACATCACCAAAATTCGCTTGTTTACTGGGTTTCCTATACCATTACGGGATAGGAACTGAAGTAAATCTAGAAGAAATGTTTAGATTGTACACAATTTCGGCGGAAAACAATGATCCAATTGGCCAAGCACAACTCGGAAGGTGTTATTCTGACGCATGTGGTACCGAAGAAAATAATGAAAAGGCTTTTTACTGGGCAAAGAAATCGGCAGAAAATGGAAATTTAACAGGAGCATATAATCTGGCGGATTGTTACTGTTGGGGAATCGGAACGCCTGTTATTAAACGGTATTCGTTTTATTGGTATCAACGATCAGCTGAGGCCGGAATGAATTGCTCAGTGTTTTGGCTAGCGAGATGTTTTCGAGTTGGTTGGGGTACAAATAAAGATATCCACCATGCTTTACGTTTGTATCGAGGAATTGATCATTCTTCGTGGATGGTTGAAGTGAAAGATGTTTTTAAGGTGATTTGCTTAATCATTTATGTTAGAATCTTGCATGTGTCATGTGAAGTAAATATTGATACTTTTTCCTTACCGTTACATTCATTGCATCAAATAGTCCAGCAAATTAAAGGGACTTCACGCAATGTAAAATTTAAGGATTCTTTTTTGTTGTTATGCTGAAGCAAACGATTCTGTAGTTGTGGTAAGCCAACTTTTGATTGTATTTCTGATACGTAATACATGTATGAGAAATAAATTAATAAATGGCTCCAATCAAATGTAAAGTCTCAAACCCCAGGATTCGTAAATATTTATTGCCGAGAAGTTCTTCAACAAACACGATCTTTCTTTTAAGTGATCCTATTTACCAAATATAGATGATTCTAACGCTACGTATACATGTACATGTATTTATCATTAATCCATTTCTTTTCTTATCGTTATCGTTATTTCAAAATAAATCCTAGCACATTACGTATCGGTATCGGTATTGTGATTGTCGATATCCAGTATTCGACATTACGTTTGCAAAATTGTCGTTGTTAACTTGTTGATTTGATTATACCTATTTATAAGAATTTCACTTGAAAAAAGAGTGTCATTTTTCATGCGATCTTTGCAAATATATTAAACGACCGCTACGAAGATTGAAAATTTATATTATTGAAGGATTGGAAACAATTCACAAAAGAAATTTGTGCATTGTGACTTGAGACATTAATGTATCATGATGTTGCTCAAATTGCTGACTTTAGACTTGCCGGCTCAGCTAATTCAATCAAGAACTTTACGGATTCCTTCCTTATATTAGTCCGGAGGTGCTAAATGGAGAGCCATCCTCATAAGCTGCAGGTTTAGGATACGTATTATGTACGAACGAGCGACCATTCGGTGAATGAAGTCATGTATACGATATCTAGAAATTTATTATTGAAAAATGTTGGAATCCTAAAGACTTTATCGATTCTAGCTGGTCTGGCTATATCGATGAGTTGTATAAACCGAATACTTTGCATTTTCAGTACTACGTTTCTTTGGAATATCCTAAAACTGAAGAAAAGATGAAATCGCAAAAAACATTTCTACGAATACGAACAAAAAACAACAAATCACTCAAACGCAGTTTACACCAGTCGAATCTTTACCACATCCACTTTGTTTCTATATATAAATTTCACGTTAATTAAAATCGAAGCTTTAGCATTAGCGTTAGGATTTACAAGTGTCGGTTGGTACGTATGTCCCAACGAAAGCAAATATTATTTTTCTTTAATTTCTTTAATTCAATATTTTTTTCTTTGCTTAGAGAATGAAGAGATATTGAGTATCTTACAAGAAAAACTGCAGATTCATGATGAACCAATACAATAAAATAAGATAATAATTAAATTTTATTATGTCGATTTAATTCAAGTCTAATGCTAGCGCTAGCATGATTCTGGAGGTCATCATGGAATTATTATAAACTGTGTAAGAGTTGAAGCACAGCGACAAAAACTTATTTATGTTTATCGTCATATTTATTAGTTTATTCATATAAAGTTATTTTTGCTTCTTTTAAAATACATAATCCTATTCCATGAATTAGAAATTTTTTTATAATCTATAATCTAGTACTTGTTTTGAATTTTTATAAAATAAAATGGTCACTTTTGGATGTGATAACCTGGATACCAAGATATCGCGTCCAAAAGTGACCGTTTTATTTTATAAAAATTCATGATTCTTGTTAATGGTAGTTGAACCAAGTACGTACGTACATGTAATTGATGGCGACTGTAACATGTACATGTATAAATTATGTATTCACGTTGTATCATTTTTTTCATGCATAATCGTTTTACAAACACAAGTGAACAACAATTTCCACACCACATATAAATCATCATTTTTTAAATAAAACACTGCCATACTCACTAATAAACTCAAAGATAGCATCTAAAACTCATGATTGTCGTGATGTGATGATTGGCTACTGTAAAGCATGTTCAGTTCATAATATTCACGATTGTCGTAATAACTGTTTCGATTGTAAATTTGGTCTCTACTGCAAGGAGTGTTCAGTTCATAATGTTCATAATACTCATGATTGTAGTAAATGTACCAAATGTCAAGAAAATAGGTACTGTGGGAGATGTATTCGATATCACAAACGAATTTATAAAAGTGGAAATAAAGATATCGACAGTCTAATAAAAATGACTGCAATAACATTAATGAATATATACAGTATTCGAATGGATCCCTATTGAAAGATTTACCAATGTTGAATGTCTTGTAAAAGGAGGTTTTGGATCAATTTATAAAGCAACACTGAACGAACGACTACGAGAAGTGGGATCATGAAGAGAATAGATTTAAACTAAAGGAAGACCGTGCAAAGTTGTGTTGAAATCATTACACAATTCAAAGAAAATTACATCCGAGTTTATAAACGAGGTAAAATGGTCACTTTTTAAGTGTAAGCATGTTGCTTTTTTGTTTTTCAATCTAATCAACTTTTTTAAAATTAGATTCTGACTGCTCTACAGTGCAGTTATAACAGTGCAATAAAATAACTAAAAACCCAATTACAAATGAATACTCGATAGTGATCTACGCAAATACGTATACGTATTACATGTAATTCCAACTACGAAAAATTGAATTGGAAAGACAAATTAGGATATTTAATGAGTATTACTCGAGGGTGGGATAAAATACATAGAGAAATTTCTGCATCGTGACTTTCACCCTGGAAATATATTAATAAATTATACTACAATAACGATAATTACCGATTTTGGACTTACCAAGCAAATGTTGAAGAATTTAATCAAAAAATCTGCGGAGTACGTACTTCCTTATATGAGTCCAGAGATATTAAATGGAAAACCATACACTAAAGCTGCAGATATTTATAGGTTTGGAATGATAATGTACGAGTTTGCCACAGGTGAACGACCATTTGGTGGACGGAGTCATGACATACACCTCGTATTAGGCATCTATAACGGAGTACGACCGACGACACCAAATAATATTCCTAAATTATTATTGAAAAATGCTGGGATCCTATTCCAGAGAACAGACCAACAGCTGAGGAACTTGAAGACTTTATCAACTCTATCAATTGTGGATATATGAGTACTTTGCATTTTCGCTTCAGCTCTTTAGAGTAATGAAATTAAAGAGTGTCTCAAACTAGAAAAGCAGAAATTAGATAAACTCGATAAGGATATGAAATTAAAAAATAGCGTTCCTACAAATATGAACAAAAACAAGCAATCCACTCTAATGCAATTTACACCAGTCGAGTCTTTACCACAAAAGAAATTTCAATTGCAACTGACACAGGTACTTTCTATTTCTAAATATGAATCATGTCGATATATCGTTTCACGTTAATTAAATTTGTATCGAATATTTAGGCACTACAAGTGTCAGTTTGTATACTCCAAACGATTTCTATGCCACATGAAATCCAAGAGAATGAAGAGATATCGAGTAACTTGCAAGAAAAACTACAGACTCATAATGAATCACTTACAACTAAACAGGACAATGTCAAAAAAGAAATGGTAACTACTTTATATTGTCGTTGATTAATTTAGTTTAATTTAAGAGTCTAAACATTAGCGATAACGATAACATGTATTTAATCTTTGTGAGACCCTCCAACAGTATCAGTACGTATATGCACATACTTTATACATGTACATGTAAATACGTAGCGATAGAAATCGTTATCAATATTATACTTTTGTAAAGTGTCATCGTTGATAACTTCATCGTCTTCATGTAACAAAAACAAACGGCTTGAGTTTGCAATCATAAAAAAACAGATAAAGTTTTACGACTTTGAAAAGTTTACAAATAAAGAAGTAGTTGGTACCGGAGCATTTGGCGAAGTATCAAAAGCAAATGTGATAAATAGTAATTTGGTGGTTGCGTTAAAAAGGTTCTGGATGACAAACGAAAAGAAAAAAATAAACAAGGCATTCATTAAAGAGGTAACTGTTTTTGAAATAAACAAATATTAAAATATTATAATCAACTGCTGTTGATAAAATATTTTTCATTAGTTACAATTTCTTACTAAACTTAAACATCATGAAAATATTATTCAACTATACGGAATTACAAAAGGTAAAAATCAAAATCAATGAATTGTGTTTTAAACTTTGAACGAGAACTTATAAAGTTTAAGAAATAGATCCAACTTCGAATGGATGCATACTTGTTTTGGAATATGCTGACGGTGGCACTCTAAGTAATTTCTTAGCAAACCATCGAAAACTTACCGGAGATAAAAAATTAATATTAGCATTACAACTAGCTGAAGGATTACAATTTATACATGACTCTGGAATAATTCATAGAGATCTGGTAATAAGCTTTTGATTTCTTCACTTCGATTTAAAGCAACGTTGATTTCTTTTTAAATAACGATAAAGCAATTTAATTTAACATTTAATTTACCAAATCCGTGTACTAGAACCATAACAATGTCCTAGTGCACCAAGAGAAACTCAAAATTTCGGATTTAGGATATTCAAAATTTTCAAACGATTATTTTAATTCGAGAACATATTTAGGAGTTATAAGCTACGTTGATCCAGCGTTTTTACTAGATAATAATTATCGCCGAGACGAGAGATCAGACATCTTCAGTCTTGGAATTCTTTTTTGGGTCATATCTAGCAGACGTATACCATCCAACAAATCCGGGTATGCATACTCTAATCCAATAGATGAAAAAGAAATTACAATTTTTGGGACGCCTAGTAAATACGTTAAGCTATATAAACAATGTTGGGATAATATACCCGATAATCGACCTGATATTCACGAAGTGAATAATAAACTTCAAGAAATTGAGTGGCTGTCGTTGGAAAAAGAAGACAATCCATCAGAATTCTCAATAGACTTATCAGATAATACTACTATCCGTACTTTCCAAAGTAGTTTGATCGAGTATGAAGAAAATGTAGTAGACATATTATTGCAACTACAATCAAATCCTGAAATATCAACAACTGGAAAAACTTTAGCATTAATAATCAATGAATTATCAAATATTTTATATAATATGATCAATTCCGGTGAAACTCTAGATAAAATAGCCCAGCACCTGCGTGCACACATTGACACACATAATTGCGATAA